AGAGAGAGAGAGAGAGAGAGAAGAAAAAGAAGATTACGACGCAACATCTTCGACGAAGTTTCGACGAACGCTGGAACGCGACGATCGATCCCACCGGATACGCGGGCAACGTTCGGTCACTCTCTGTATCCGGCACGCGTGCACGCGTACACACGTTCGAACATCGAATTTCAACGTTCCTAGGCACGGACAATGTAATCACGTTGTTTGCTTGCCGGTCCTGTCATTCGGACACAGAAGGTGGGCGTACTCGCGGCTCCAATCAAGGCCCCGGCTACGCTCCCTTTGATTCTGTTCTTCAATTTGTCACTGATGAGGTTTCTTCGAATTTTCGGCTGACCAGGGTCAAACGATCCCCCCACGCGACGAACAAACGCGTCCGTCTATCGATTTGCATATCGAGGTTTCAGCCGATCGATCTATAGTAGATAATTGCGAAGTTTCCGGCTATTGCCTCGTCTGGTCGCGTTGGTGTTTGCCTTTCGTTCGAATGATACGTTAATTGAAATCGCTAGACACTGGACGGAGAGAGTGTATTGCTTTCGATGCGAAGACAGAACAATGTTTGACGTAATTTCATCCAAATTAGATTATTTATTTAACTTAGTAGAACCAGAGTGTGCTAATTTACTCTAAAATAGCATATTTTTCAGGTTGTTCGTGTCTCAAAAGGATCGAATTGAAGTTTTCCATATTTTTTTAAGCTCTTGATTAAAAAACATTTCTATCAAGGCCACGACTCAAAGTTATCTATTAGCTATCAAATTCGATGAATTGGTTAAAATACAAAGTTTTCAACACTGTGCTTGACATTTTCATACTCTAAAAATGTGTGATATTTACTGTCCGTAATACTGGCCTTATTGTATCGTCTCCACAGAGAGAATGTCCATTTATTAAATATCAACGAAATCGATGAAATCTAATCTAACAAAAAGATACGCCTGCGCGAACAGCATCACGTAAATCAATTGATCAGGACACTTACTTACGCTGTAGGGATCGCGATCGATTGAAAAAAAAAAACAGGTTACACATAGTAATTCAATCGGCGCGTAAATAATCCCATTGTAACGCCGCGCACATAATCTTTGTAATCGGTATTTAATGATAAATGTTGACAATCAACGTCGAATATTTACGTAGATCTCGCGCAATGTACAATATCACGCGACGGTGTACAACTGTTGTTTTGCAAATCTCTGCAAACCGCTGGACGTTCCGCACTAAACATAGATATCCCGCGAAAATTATTACCACCACCCTACAATGTAAAACGGAAATTAGATACCCGGTGTACATTCAGTTACCATTCGTTCACGGTTCGTAACGCAGGTGTCGCGTGGATTGAAAGTCGTCGTGTTATACGGTTCTTTGATTTACGTGCAGGTACATTACGTCTCTCTGTTCGACATGCTTGAGAAACGATACGCGATATAACGTCGGTGGAACGCGATGTACACCGATTCCGAAACTTTCGGAGCACGATACTTCGCATGAAGTTACAGAATCTCTGATGATATTGGATGTATTTCCTCTTATTGGCAGAAGTTTATGTTTAGACTCTGAGGAGTAGTTTACCCAGTTTTTCGCGAGAAATATTCCAAAGTATTATAAAATTCGTGCATTATTGTCAGACGACGATACGAGCAGTTACACAGTTTTTTCACCCAGTGACTGTGCGTTCAAATTTCGCTCTCGTTAAAGTATTTTACAGAGCCTTTAAAAGTAGAACTGTCACTGAATAATTTATCCTGGCAGTTTCTGTAAAACGCTTCCTTAAATTACCAAGGTAACAAGGAAGCCGGTGAATTTAATTTTTTATAAACGTTTCTTCTCTCGAACGTTCTTCATTTATGTATTACGCAGAAGCGTAGAACTTTGAAAACGTTGCCTCGAATACCTCACGCTGGAATTATTCTAACGATTCAATGATTTAAAAATAACTGGTGCAAACGAAAGCTTGTACGGCGATTTGAAAATAATTCAAACGCGTATAAAGTTGATATAATTCGTAGACGAAATTAAATTAAGCTACGTTTGTAGGTACATTTGTGTCGCGTAAATTACTCGCGCTGTTGACGCGTTTAAAAGTTCCTGACTCCTAATCTCATTGTCAATAAATTTCTCCACGACCCGATGAACCAATGCTTCTTCTAATACGATGCACTATTATTGTGGGAACGGCGGCGCGTCGGCTATCGAGCCGATCAATCACCCGGCAAAAGGAAAAACGAGGCCCAGGTAAAACGAGCAATGCTCCATAAATATCAAGCGATGCATGTTTGCAAATGGATATTTACCGTCGGTCAGTTTAGCTGATAGTTTCATTCAAAAAACGCTGCAGCTGCAGCATATAGTTTCGCCGGAACCATTAATCTCCTTCCGCGGATCGGGTAATTAATACAATTCGCGTTTAATCAAAAGATTTTTAAATCCAGGCGATATCTCATGGGCTGAACGAAAGGAGAACAGCGAATAGACTGCGTGCTTCGAGACTGAAATTGTCGACTCGAAGTAAAGACGAGCAAACATTTTACAATATTTAAAATATCTACAAGTCAGTGTATAAGCAAGGGAATGAGCGACTAACGTGAATCCCCTGCAAAGATGCTTTGGGTGTTGTGTTTGTCGTTTTCCTCCTGCTTTTTAGATTGTCATTCTACTATCGTTATTAAAAACATTGTCCGATTAAACGAAAGCTCTGACGAAGACCTGAGAGATCGCTTCGCTATTGAAGAAAAAAAAAAAAAAAAAAAAAAAAAAAGAAAAAACCCGTAAAACTTTTGAAACCAACCGCCCAACTATCAAGAGCAGAATTACATCCGAGCCGTTAAACAATTTAACCCGTTATCTCAAGTCTGACACAGAGAGGTTCCGGGCCTTAGCTGATCCGGGGCTGCCTAACCAGATTACAGGCTCTGTAATCCACTTAGCTCATCGACCTTTGATCAAAAAATGGCCGGCTTCCTTTGTGGAATCACTTCGAGCCGGTGCTCGTTAAAACATGGTCTCGCGAAAGACGTTGGCCGATAACTCGTGTGTCGCTGTCCATGGTCGTGGCAGAGAGAGAGAGAGAGAGAGAGAGAGAGAGAGAATCTTCGCTAGCGTGTTGGCGCGCGCTCGCACGCCCGGAAAACTGCTCAGGATTTGCGTAATCTGGCAGAGATCGGAGGGGGCCCTTTTGGGTTAGCGCACGCCAGCTTCACGGCTTGGCTTTCCCCTGCTGATTAAGCTCCGGTGACCGTGTGTGCGATCGATGGAATCGCAACCGCCTGATCTCGTATTCAACGTTCGTGATCCGACACACGGTCTCGTGCTCGCGAAGCTCTGCGCACAGGCCCGTGTGCCATCTACTAACACTAACGCGCCGGCTACGCACACGGTGTATATAGAGTCTGCCAGCTTGCCCCGGGTATGGGGAGCGGCGTTTCGGGGTAGCTATTACAATTTACACGCGGTTATATGTAGCTAAACGAAGCAGCGGGCCTGCTAATTGTGGTTAAGTTTAATTCGCGTCGACGTGCGGGCTCGCTTCGAGCCGAACAGCGCGCGAGAGACGGAAAGCGATAAAGATACATAGACGGTGTCTGAAAAATAGGTGACCAAGCACGTTCTTTGGGATTGAAGCGAGATGAAACGGGTGAAACGCAGGTCGAGAAATTTTTTCGTTTCTCAGCCAAACGACGGATTTTGATACTCTGAAATACAATCAAGGAAAATGGAATCCCCGTAGAGAATTGTTATAGTAATTATGCAGTGACGGAATAGTACAGTAAACAATAGTTACAGCAAACTAAAATCCGTGATCTAATCGTCGCTTCTTCGTTGAATTTTTCGAGATGTTGGTAGAGTTTTCATTTAGAAGAAATGCAGTCGCTGAAACGAGATAAGAAGGAATATTGAAAAATTTCTTAATGCGACAGCTTATGATCTCGCCTTCTCAGCGAGACAGTTTCGTACATACACGTGGAATCTACGCCGTTAGAAGAAAAAAAAGAGAAGAAAATGTCAAACTCCATTCCACATTCTCGATGTTTACCCATCGGAGAAAATCACTCCAGAATTCGACTCGCGACAGAATTTTCGTCGCACCCTGTACAGAGAGGGTGAACAGAGAAAGGTAAAGAGCCGTTTCGTTTGACGTGCGCTTGCACAACTAGGGGCGGGATGGTATCGTCGTTGTTGCCACCGGTGCATCCGACGCCTCCTATGTACACGTGTAAACCGGGCGCGAGACGGTATAGGCTCAATACATAAGCGCGTTTATCGATACCGCGAGGTTATTGGCCAATAATGTGGAGGAAAACCAGCGTTGCACCTCTCCGATCACCGAACCGCTGGATTTTGCTTGTGCCGCCGGGGCCTTTACATGGAAAGCCGACTGCTATTATATAGGCGGAGGAGGATCTATCGACAGAAACGCCAGTCGGATGACGCGGACACGGCCGAAAGAAACGCGAGTAGGGTGAGGCTGTGGGACGAGAAGATCAGGGGATGGCCACTTACTAAATTGGCGATAGACAAGCACGATCACTCAGCGTCAAATTATCACGGTGCATGATGGAATGGACGCCGGTCCAGATGCAGATGGATCCTATTGTTTCTACGGCAAGGTCCTCCACCAAAGAGGCAGATACGCATCCGGACATTTTCCTCGCCTCGTGCATTATCCCTTTCTCTCTGTCTCTGTCCTTCTTCCCTCTTTTCACCTGCAATACTATCGTCCATCGTTTTGGATCTTTCCACCCTCGATTTTCTAGCTGCTGGCTCTTCTCATCTTCTCCTTTCGTTACGTCCCTTTCACGAGAGCTGCTCGATGCTTGCCGCGATCG